AAAAAGAAAGATAATAATATAAAATCCCTCAGTTGTAGCACAGCTAAACAGAACTGTCTTTAACCTGGTTTTAAACATTGTCAGAGAGGAGGCCTGTCTCACATCTTCAGGAAGATTGTTCCAGATTTTAGCAGCATGAATCTGAAAAGCAGCCTCCCCATGTTTAGTTCTGACTCTGGGCACTAACAGGAGTCCAGTCCCTGTGCTCCTCAGAGTCCCAGCAGGAGTCCAGTCCCTGTGCTCCTCAGAGTCCCAGCAGGAGTCCAGTCCCTGTGCTCCTCAGAGTCCCAGCAGGAGTCCAGTCCCTGTGCTCCTCAGAGTCCCAGCAGGAGTCCAGTCCCTGTGCTCCTCAGAGTCCGGGCTGGTTCATATGGGACTAACATGTCACTAATATATTTTGGTGCGAGGCTATGGAGAGACTTGTAACAAGCAGAGCTGTTTTAAATTCTATTCTCTGAGCCACAGGAAGCCAGTGCAGAGACCTGAGGACTGGACTAATGTGGTCGTACTTCCTGGTTCTAGTCAGGACTAATATGGTCGTACTTCCTGGTTCTAGTCAGGACTAATGTGGTCGTACTTCCTGGTTCTTGGTAGGACTCGAGCTGCTGCATTTTGAATGTACTGCAGCTGTTTTACAGCCTGTTTGGACAGACCTGTGAGCAGGCCATTGCAGTAGTCTAACCTACTGGAGACAAATGCATGGATAAGAATCTCCAGGTCTGCTTTAGACACTATGTTTTTGATCCTGGCAATGTTTTTTAGATGGTAAAAAGCTGCTGATGTTACTGATTTGATGTGGCTATTAAAATTTAAGTCTGAGTCCAGTATTACCCCTAGATTTCTGACCTTGTTTGAAGGTTTTAGGGAGAGAGACTGTAGGTGACAGATGACGCTCTCTCTTTGTTTCTGGGGACCAAAGACAATCATTTCAGTTTTGTCTGCGTTTAGCTGAAGGAAGTTGTTTTGCATCCACTCACTGATCTGTTGGATACAGTGAAGGAGTGAGTCCACTGGTCCATGTTCTCCTGCAGTCAGTGAGACATAGATCTGAGTGTCGTCTGCATAGTTATGATAGGACACTTTGTTTCTGCGTATTAACTGACCTAACGGCAGCATGTAGAGATTGAACAGAAGAGGTCCCAGGATCGACCCCTGTGGTACTCCACAGGTCAGGGCCATATGATCTGAGACCAAGCCCCGGCGATCCAAGATGGCGCCCTATTCAAATGAATGGTTGTGCTCAGTGGCGCTTTGTGACGGCATGGGGGCTGAAAGATTAGCGGAAGTTGCCTGAAACTCGCAAAGATCTATGGGAAACTCGCCTGTATTTGGGCATAGTCTGGTCCTCCCGGTTCTGCGCAGTGGATGATCTCCCATAATGCATTGCGCCAAACACGCATGTGTGGGTCTCACACCGGGTCTCA